CTACAAGGGCTTCAAACAAAATTAATACAACTTAAAACATTTTTTTTTTGGATTATCTAATTAACAAATTTGGCCCAATGCATGAATTTTAAAAAATATTTTAATAAAATGGTTGACAGTCAAGAATATTGCTGTACTAGCTACTGGTACATCCTTAATTAGAATAAACAGTTTGCTGCTGTACAGTTTGTTTGACTGTACCCACTTAGGTTGCTGAACAGATTGATTGGAACAAATGTTGAAAAATTGAACCACTTTGTTGCTGAACAAATACTGAGTGCTACCACTGCAAAAAAAACTTGCATTATGTGAAGAATATATTTATAGATTAATTATTCATGTCTGTTTGAATCAGTTGTAGCTGTTCTTGACTTAATTAAATTCCTGATTCATATACCACAAATATTACAATATATTATTAATTAAAATTTGTCCTGATGTTCTTTTTTTTTCATTTCTATTTATGATGTAGTAATTGTTATAGGTGAAATACTCATTTATTTTTGAGAAGTTTGTCTTGTGACCCAGTTTTTTTTTTGTATATTTTTCTGTTAAATTTCTAAACTGAAAGTATTGGTCATAAAATAAACTTTCCTCACCCTCTTTGTATTTATTTATTTACACTTTATGTTTAACCTCTATGCTGCTATTAAAATGCTTTAATGAGAACTCTTATTGTTATGTATTAATTAGTAACCCTGACAAAATATGTTTATCTATGTTGATTTTATTGTTTCATCATGACTAGGAATTTTTTAATTGCAGGGAAGGGCTCTATTGGCAGAAGGCAGCTTTGTTTATTTGTCTACAGCAGTCTTGTTTAATAGACAATAGTTACTATGCAAATTTTGCTTTACATATGTAATGTACAACTGTGATTCTCTAGCAAAGCACATGTTATGTAATGATAAAGAATAATTAGTCCTGATGTTCCAAAAGGAAAAGTATTCAGCCTTTATTGTCAAAAAATATAATATTGAGAATCAAATCCTAGTAAAATCTCAACTA